ATGATCACTTTACAGATCTCATTAGATATATCAAAATGAAAAAAATGCCAGTATTCAATTTTATCCAAGATTAGATGGTGCAAATAGTCTGTTTAAGGTCTAGATGAGTAAGGGCCTAATTATTCAGATGTTTTAAAAACACATTTTAGCATACATCTCAGTATGGAGATTTGTTTGCTCTTTTAAACAGTAATTGTTTTTAAAACTTTGGTCACAAAGCTATGAATAATCACTTTCTTTTAATGTCTGAAAAGATAACAATGCTTGGTGAAACTAGCTAGTTAATAACACCATGATCTTATCTCTTCTGAAATGCTATCTGCTAAGTTTTTAAAATTGCAAGGATCTTAATACCTTTATGAGATGCTTTACAAGTAACATCTATTGCACTTTATTTTCAAGAAACTGTGTGAATGTAATGTAGGGTTATTAACTCAATAATAAAAATTTAATACAGGTTGGAAAATCTCATCGTAGAAATGAAATTACTCCATTTACATTAAAAATATGCTTTAAGGCACAGTTTGCAATGAAGACTTTTATAGGTATATTTATCATTTAAGATACAACACAATTTTTACAAGAAATTTTCTTTTAGATATTCAAATATACATAAATATTTACATTGCAACTTAAAATATTCTCATATAAACATAAAAATATCAATTCGGAGTTCTGAAATAATATAACCACTATCTTTTTCAAGAATATTATCTGTCCAGGGCTGAAACATGCATATGTTTATACATAAAGGATACTTGATGTTCTTCAGTCCCCCAAAAAACCCCAACAAAACTTATATCTACTGGTAATGGAAGAGCTCAATCTGAAAGAATGGATATTGTTAACATAAGAAAAATGCTAAGGTGTAATAGCTGGGGGGAAAATCAATCAAAGAGCAAAAAAATGGAAACCATTTAAAAATATGGGAAGTAAAACTGAAAAGGAGTTGTAAAGCAGGGTACAGAGAGAAGACAACAGGGGAAGGAATTCAACAGCAACAAAGGTACTGATTCTGTAATCCAGGAATCCAAGCAAGAGTCTAGAAGAGGATTAGTTTTCATACAGCAAAATTTGTATTTTGCAAAATCTAGTTAAAATCTAAAAACATTTAATTT